GATACCTACAGGCATTAATAATAAGGTCTCCCCTCAGCCGTCTCCTCTCCAGGCTAAAGAGTCCCAGCTCTTTCAGCCTTTCCTCATAAAAGAGATGCTCCAAACCCCCAGTCATCTTTGTTGCCCTCCACTGGATACTCTGTAGTAGCTCCCTGTCTCTCTTGAACTGGGGAGCCCAGAACTGAACACAGTCATTCTAGCTGTGGCCTCATGAGAACAGAACAGAGGGGGGAGAATACGGAGATGTTAGAAATTCTTACTTCAATGCCTAAAGCTGACCACTAAAATTCCTCTCTCATGCATCCAACATCCCCACAGATCTGCAGACATCACTGCAGACAGAACGTGCCCATTCACTGCACACATATTAAACACCTTCCAGGAGTGGAAAAGTCCCTCTGCAGCCCATTGCCACCTCCACACATGTACTTCAAAACATCCTGGAAAGGAGCTACAAGCCACATTCCTGCTGAGAAAGCAACCAAATGACCTCTCTTCAGGGCCAGGGAGCCTTGGACAGCAGTTCCTCTTGTTCTTGCACTCAAATCTGTCTTGAATTAAGACATCCAAGAAGGTGTTACACTTCTGAGTTCAGAGGCTGGAGAGACTGCAGGTTGCCCTGATGATCCAGCTCTTTCAAGAACTACAATGCATTCAGGAGCTTGGATGAGTGTGTGGAACTTCACCTTAGTTTCCTCTTTGCTGGGTTCTGGGTTTGTATTTTTTTTTCCTTCTGCACTTACAAGATAACCCAGTGAGAAGGGCAGCCTGCAACTCAAGTCTTAATGCATTATCTCTGTCATCTTGCAGGCTTCCCTACAGGCTCCTCAGAGCACTCACCCAAAGGGTTGTCACAGCCCAGGAAATCAGAGCAACTTGCTTTTGCCCTCAGAGATGCTTGGTACTTCTGTCCCTGTTTCTCAGGCACCATGTCAGCTATTGCCTTTCTCTGCCCTCAGATTTCCAGCTCATGAACACCACTTGTTACTCAGTCCCTCAGTGTGAATGGTGACACCATGCTCTGTCCCATGACCCATGACCACTTTCCCAGCCTGACACCAGGCAGGAAACCCAGGACAGAGCAAATAATCAAACCTTCTTTCCCTCCCTCCTCAGCAGAAAGCTCCAGACCTGTAGCTAACAGGAATCTGCAGTGACAACATAAAATGGTATTAGAAAAACCCAACAAACCCAAGTGAATTGTAGGCAAACTTAGACCTACAGGTCTACAGAAGGTCTTTTTCAAGCATCTGGGGATTTTATAATATTGAGAAAATATAAAATACCATGCAAACAAGTTCCTATGGGCAGCTACATGGCAATGGACCTGTAATAATTATAACAGGGCACGTTTGCCATCTTCAGGAGCTGAGGAGGAACTGCACCCAAATGTTCCAAAATAAAACCCCCAGACAAAGCAAAATGAAAATGAAGAGTGAGAAGCAACAATTGATGGCAGGAGATGGGCATTCTCTCCCGGTGTGGGGCTGCAGCCAAGCAGGACTGCAGCAGGGCCAGGCTCTGGGCTGTGTGCACCTCTTTACAGCAGCTGAAGTCCTGATCTTTGCTGCCAGCCCTGGTGCTGTTAGAAAAAGAATAAGAAGAAATAACAATACTAGGAGAGTTTGACAGACAACGAGTCAAGCTGCTGAGCACAACTTTTTGCTTATCAGTCGTTTGAAGGGAAGAATATTGAATTCAAGGTCTGGGTGGATTTGATGGCACCATCAGGTTGTGCTTTTCCTTGGCCTTATTCTTCTTTAACACAAGGAACTAAACCCTGCAGGGATAATCAAAAGGGATTCAAAAAGAAAATTAGCCCTAAATATCTCTGAATAAGGAAAAAATATTGCTCTTTTTTTCTTTTTTTTTTTAATCCAGCTATTCCATAAAAATTGACTATAAACAAGATGATCAGAAAAAAAAAGATGATGAAGCAAAAGGCAATAGAAAGAAAGAAGGTGTTGGGTTGAGGTTTCTTTTCTTTTAAAACAGAGGTCCAGGAGGCCAAGGGGAAGAAGTTAATATCAGTAAATCATAGAATTGTGATTGGAAAAGATCTCTGAGATCATCAAGTCCAACCATTAACCCAGCACTGCCAACTCCACAACTAAATCATGTCCTCAAACACCACATCTACGTGTCTTTTAAATACCTCCAGGGTTGGTGACTTGTCATGGTTTGTGTTCCACAGGACAACAAAGGAACAGCCCCATGACAGCTCACTCAACTCCCCCCACACACACACTCTGGAAAGTCTGTGGGTACAAATTAAGGGGCAGGCTGGCATGGGTGATGCAGTTGTGGGGGTCTATTACAGACCTCCTGATCAGGATGAGGTAGTTGATGAGGAAGCAGCTGAAAGCAGCCGTGTAATTACAGGCATTAGTCCTCATGGGGGATTTTAACTACCCAGATATTTGCTGGAAGGCCTACCCAGCCATTCACAGTCTAGGAGGTTCCTCCAGTGCATCGATGGTAACTTCTTGGTACAAATGGTGTGGGCAAACCAACTAGAAGAGGAGTTGCTGGATCTTGTGGTCACCAACAGGGAGGGTCTGGTTGAAGCTGCAGTGATCATGAGATGCTGGAGTTCAGGATCCTGTGTGGGAGGAACAGAATACTTAGCAGGACCACAGCCCTGGACTTCTGCAGGGCCAACTTCAGCATCTTCAATCAATTGTTAAGAGAAGTCCCATGGGACAGGGTGCTAGATGGGAAAGGGGCTCAAAACAGTTAGTCAACATTCAAGGACCACGTCTCCCAAGCTGAGGATCAGAGCATCCCAATGGGTAGGAAATCAAGTAAGGGAGCCAAGAGACCCACATGGTTAAACAAGGAACTGCTGGGCAAACTCAAGTGGAGAAAGAGAATCTATGGATCATGGAAGGAGGGGATGGTCACTTGGAGGGAATATAGGACAGTTGTCAGAGGGTGTAGAGAGGCAATTAGGAAAGCTAAGGCCTCCTTGGAACTAAATGTTGCTAGTGAGGTCAAAGACAATAGAAAGGGCTTCAAGTACATTGCAGATAGAACTAACACTAAAGGCAATATAGGCTCCTTCCTCCTCAGGAAGGATTGCTTACAGTCCTTCCCTGCTTCCCCATGGGAGAGAGTCCTTCACGAACCTCTCCTTCATGAGTCCTTCCCACGAGGTCTGAAGCTGCTCCAGCCTGGGCTGCCCACAGAGTCATGGGTTGCTTTGGGAGCAGTCACTTCCCCTGGAGCATAATCAGAGTCCACTGGCAGCAAGTCCAAGTTCACTGGCCAAGTTCACCCCTCCTGGCAACCCCAGGGAATGTTCTACCATGTTCCTCCATGAGTGCAGGGGCACAGCTGCCATCTCACCATGAGTTGCAGGGAAACCTCTGCTTAGGCACTTTCTTACCCTTCTTCCTCACCAACCACCAGCACCCTCTGCCTCCCCAGCACAGCTCTTTTTCTTTTAAGTGCTCGCTCTGCTCAGGTCTCATTTCAGTTCATTCTTGTTCATTCTTAATGGCAGAGACACATCTATTGTCCCTCCAGTGGCTCCTTGGCTGAGTTTGGGGAAGGAGGAGCTTCTCAGCTTCTTACTGGAGCCACCCCAGGGCCCTTCCCCTGTTACCAGAAAACTCACTAAACAAACCAAGAACATGACTCCATCATTTCCCTGGGCAGCCCATTCCAGTGACTGACAACTCATCACGTGAAGAATTTTTTCCTAATATCCAATCTAAACCTTCCCTGGCACAACATGAGGCCATTTCCTCTTGCTCTATCACTCGTTGCTTGTTATATCCCCACCAAGGACACAGGATTCCCAAAATCACTCCCTGCACCAGATTCTCCACTGGTGTAAAACAGGGCAGTGTCATTCATTTCAGCAGACTCAGTCCAGCTGAGCTCCTATCACTCATCCCACAGCCCCTGATCAAGAGCAATGATCCAGCAACACACCTTCCTTTCCATTTGAAGTGCCTAGTGTCCTAAAAGCTAAGTTGTGTGAGGGCAAGTCTCTTTGGGATGTTACTACAGAGCTCTAAGTTCCTGAGACTAAAGAAAAACCCTAAAGTGAGAAACCACCCCAAACAGAATTTAGCAGAGAGGGCCTGGTGGTTTTTATGTGCTAAGTGGTCAAAGGAAGGGAGGAATGGAATTTTGTGCCTCTAATCAAGGCTGATCTTCACACTTCAGATTGGAATGTGGCTGAGATCACCCTCATCTGTGATGAGAAGTGGCATTTTTTTGACAAGCTGGAATTGTTTACAGTACATGTTGCTAAGAGTTTAAGTGTCAGAACTGCACTCAACCTACACCAAACAGAGACTGGCAGACAGAGGAGAATGCCACAGTGTAGATGTGGCAGATAAAGAACAACACCAAAGCCATCACCAAGTGCCTTTGGTTTCAACAAACACAAGAAAATTGAATTGGCCATTGACCTCTCCTAGAGACAGGGAAATACGCATGAATAAGGGGAAATGGTCACCTGGACACCTGGAAGAGGCCAAGGCACTGCAATTTGCCCAAATACCTTGCTACCACATGCCATGGGTGTCACAGACACCCATGTGCAAATAAATAGCTGGTGATGTTTATGAGAACAACATTTTGTCCTTGATTTGAGCTCAATAGCTCCAGTCAGGTTAGCAGTGAGGGTGGAGAGCCTTGTCCCCAGGATATAACCTCAGCTTCACTGACTCTGACCAGCCTTGTTCTAAAGAATTTGGGTTTTTTTCCACTCCTGTGAACACTTTGCTCAAAGGGTGGGAGGAAAGGCGGGGTGGTAGTGGTGGAGAGGAACTGCTGGTGACTCCAAGAGTCACAGTTAGATAGGAGAGGCACCTAAGTCAAATACCACCACCACAAACCAGCCCCTCCCTTGATTCAGGAAGCAGCCTTGCTCAGTTGTCTCCACAGGGGAACCTTCCAGGCATGCCCAAACCTTGTCTCCCATGGTATATAAACTACCCCACAAGGAAACAACCCATCTTCAGCACAAGCCAGGCTCACCCAAAATGAAGGTTCTCCTTGTCCTCCTGCTGGGAACCATCCTGTGCTTGGACTCAGGTAAGACAGCATGGAGAGGTCACCCCACCTGCCCTACAACAGATTTGCAGCTAGGAGAAAAAAACTTGTGATGGGGTATGGAAGTGAGGGAAGAAATGCTGTTGCAGTTGTCTTATGAAAATATTTGCTTTTTGATGGAATGTCTTGGGGGTTATATGGGGAAAAAAAAAATGCATAGACCCATTGTGCTGCTGGTGTGATCCCAGTGGTGGGTAGAGCAGCTTCCAGGAAAGATAAATCCTGTACAAAACCGCATTTAAAAGGAATCAAAGTTATCCAAGTCAGACCATATAGTCGTGTTTGTGTGTAGGGGGGTTTTTTTAAGAGGCATGGGAGGGTTACTTTTCTTCTTCCCAGGCTACCAAAACTGCAGCATTTATGCAAAAGTGAGTTTTATTCCAAATTATTTTCTGATTCTACATTTCAAAAGTGGCCTCTGATGCTGCACAGATTGTCAGAATTTTAATAGGGCAGGAAAAAAAGGAGAATGCCATTATAGATTGGAGAGCTGGGATTCAAACACTGTCAGATCTGAGCTGAACTGTTTCTTAATCATCAGGGGATGCTTAAGGAATAGAATAAGGAGGTTCCTGTACAGTCCTGACCAGTCACTATCCTCTCCCAGCTACCATCAGGGTCCTCTGAAATTTTGCTTCCTTTGCATGAAAAGTCATAAATGTGAGAGCTGCTGACAAACTGGGCTTGGACTCCTTGCCTCTAAGACTACATCTGTCATTCATACCAGAACAACTTGGTCAGAGGGACACCAAGTGATTCAAATCTCTCCTTGCTTCTGCACTGAATAACACTTTTAGAAACTAGATTCTAAGCTCTTCTGTGTCCTAAAAGACTCTTTTAGGCACTTGGCTTGAGGAAGGAATGATACAAACCTGCTGGTCATGGGGATAAAGTACATATATATGCATTAACTCACATGCTCTGAAGTTGAGGCTCCAGTGATGCCCTGGGGCATGGGTAGGTAATAGGAACAGGTAATTGCACCGTGTTCTCACTCCTCTGGGGACTATTTTTCATCAGGGCTGCACACTTGTAAGCTGCAATGCTTATTCAGCCTTTGTCTGATAGCATAACAGCTCAGCAGATGTTAACTGTGCTGGCTTTCATTCCCCACAGACTGGCATGTCCATGGGGGGGTGGAAAAATGTGGTGACCTGCTCTTCAGAGAAAGGAGAAACTCATGTTTGCACTTTGTTTTCTAAAAGAAGTTGATGGAGAGTACATGTCACACATTGGTCAAAATGAGGCAAGGAGCTAGAAGAGTCTTCTGGAAATCTCCTGCTCCATCCCTCCCTCACCCATTCCTCTTTTCTTCTGGTGATATCTCAGCTAAGGCTCCCAAGCCCACCTGTTGAAACACTAATATCTGTAAATGTAGATTGATGGTACCAGTCTGTCCTTCTGGGCACTTCAACCCTTCATCCCAGCTCAGGAGATGGGAATATCACAAAAATCCTGTTCCAAACAGGAACTAGATGAGGCTTCCCAAACGCTGAGGAAGAAGCATTTGGAAAACACTTCTCTTTCACTGATGAGACCAGTCAGAAGGATTAGCCATCCACCTGATCTCCTTTTGCTCCCTCACTGCACTCATGAGATGTGAAGCAGCTTCATCACCTGCAAAACTGGACTCTCACCCCCAGAAAGTGTAATATCCTCACAAAAATTTGAAAATACACTCTTTTCTCCACACCAGAAGTGTTATCTCTCTTTGAGGACCCACAAGAAAGATTCTGTTCCCCAGTGTAAGCACTAAGTTCCCTGGAGAGCTTCAGATGGGTGTGTCTTATAATGCTTCTTGGTCTCTTGCAGGTTCTTCTTTGCAGTGTTACAGCTGCTCATTTCAGCTCAGCGACTCCAAATGTAACACGGAGGACACGATCTGCAGAGCAAATCAGACGTGCAAGACAGATGTGATCAGTAAGGCAAAGTGGGGGTGGGCAACGTCTTAGATGTGGTGTTGGAGCCAAGCATGGTCTCAATGTCAGGTGTCCAAGGCAGCCTCACCTACTCTAGATACAGCAGCAAAGCTCGGTTGGCAGCAGGAAGAGAAATAACACTTGGGAGGGGAGAAAAGTGATTTAAAAAACCTCACATTCTAATTACATTCACGTTGAGTAGGAATGGCAGAAGAAAAATATTTGTCTCTGTGATAAGTGGTCTCATGGTAGTGGTGCTGACCATGACTGAGTGCTCACACTTCACTGGCCACAAGAGTGTGGTTACAGAGTCATGTTAGTGGGTGCCTGCTGTGACCCATCAATTCTTCAGTGCTTGTCAAGAGGTCATGCAAAAATTGAGCAGTGTGGTCAGTGCCAGGGCCTGGAACAGACCTCAGAAGGCCACAGCTGCTCAACAGGGCACCAGCTGTTGAGCATTTGACATTGCAAATACCCACCAATATCTCTCACCTGTACTAAATTAGGTTTATTGCACTTTCATGACACCACAAGGGATTTGATCACAGGGACAATGGTTCAGTTTACACCTTTGAAAAGTTTGGAACACAGATCAAAATATCAGAGGCTGAGCCTGGTGAAACCTAGTCATGAAGTTAGGAGACCCATTCAGTGACATAGCTGACTTCAGGTGAATTTCATTAAAAGAATAGAATTTTACCCAGGCCCATCTGCAGCCAGCTCTGAATGCCACCATCTGTCAGTCTCTGGGTAAACTCCTTTAACAGGTTATGATTTAATTCTCCCATTCTAGATCTGCCAAAAAAAATGTTTACCCTGTCCAGATCAGTGGTGACTGCTCAGTTGCTCTTGGGGCACAAAACTCACCAGCACCAAGTTCAAACTCAGGCTTGTCAGGCAATAAATGTAATAACCTCCAGCAGGTATTGTCCTTCCTGGAAACATGCAAATCCATGGCCATGCATTCACATGCAGGAGAGCCAAGACCTTGCCTAACCTGCTGGCCCTATACACTAAATTTGGGTGTGTCTAAGATTTCATGTTCAGAATAAATTGTGAAAGATCAGGAGATCTCATGCAGTTTCCTGGTAACCAGCACATACCAAATATTACCTGGCCACAGAAAAATAGGTTGTGACTCTCAGAAACAAATCAAAGAACAACTCTGTCATCTGTGAGATGGGGACAGCCATAGCAGGAAGCTGGGGAAGAACCTTTTACAAGGGCTTGTAGTGAGATAACAAAGAGGAATCATTTAACTGGAAGAGGGGAGATTTAGATTAGACATTAGGAGGAAAGTCTTTAGTGTGAGGGTGGTGAGACACTGGCCCAGGTTACCCAAGCAAGTTATGGAAGCCCCATCCCTGGAAGTGTTCAAGGGCACATTAGATGAGCAACCTGATCTAGTGGGATGTGTCCCTGTCCATGCAAGGGTGTTGGATCTAGATGATCTTTAAGGTCCCTTCCAACTCAAATGAGTCTATGATTCTATGTTTCTGTATCTTCTCTGGGTGTTGAAAGGCTCTGTGCAACAAAGTCGTGTGGGATACGAGCAAAGAGAGCTGCACATGCTTCCTTCTCATCCATTCACTAGTTAAGCAAACACTTGGGGATTGAAACCCTTCTTTCCCTGCTGACAGACACCCCAAAAAACCAACCTGCTACAGTCAAACATGCAGCTACTTTGAAACAGTCTCTTTTGTCTCTTTTTTTTGTCTTTTTTTTCTATTTATTTTTCTTTTCTCCCAAGAAGTGAGCTCAGATAAGAACAGGATCCCATTTTTCAGTTCCATGGGGCTTGGCCTGGCGTGCATTGGGTCCTTGCAGTAATGGCCCTGCTTTCCTTTCAGAGGTTGCGTTCTTGAAGATCATCAGCAAAGGTTGTGACTCATGCTCACCAACCTTTCAGGACTACGGCGTAAGCTCAAGGAACGTCACCTGCTGCACCAGTGACAAGTGCAATGTCAATGCAGCAGGCAGTGTGAGGTCCAGCTATGGGATGGCAGCAGGATTAGTTGCCAGCATCCTCTGGCCATTCTTCAGCAACAGACTGTGAGGACTGAAGAGGACTCCCATGACCACAGAAAGGCTTGAAGCACCCATCTTATGACAGTGTTTGTGACCAGGAGCAAGGTGGTGTGTTGGGCACGCAGCATCCTTGGAGCTGATGGCAGATCTTTGCTGGATGACAGCTTCTTCATTGCTGTTCCTGTATTGCTGTAGTGCTACCAGCTAAGAAAATGTTTGTGTACTATCTGCATAATATCCAAAATACACTTACTTCTGAATCAAGTGTGAGTTTCTTTCCTGTACATCACTTAGTCAAGTATTTCCCTGCCCAGCAGCAAGTGCAGGTGGGTGTATTGCAGGTCTGGCCAGTGTTCAGCCTAGGTCATTGCTGTGGAATGATGACATGTACCAAGAGGTGCCAACACAGAGCAGAACAGAGGTGGCAACTGTACTTCCAAAGTTTGAGGGACTCTGGCTTATGACAAACCCTAGAGGGTATATCCCCAAGGAAACCCATGAATCATAGAATGGTTTGGGTTTGAAGGGACCTTAAAGAGCATCTAGTTCCAAACCCCCTGCCATAGGCAAGGGCACCTCCTACTAGACCAGGTTGCTCCAAGCTCCATCCAACCTGGCCTTGAACATTTCCAGAGAGGAGGCATCCACAACTTCTCCAGGCAATCTGTGTCAGTGTCTTTCCACTCTACTAGGAAAGAAGTTCTTCCTAACACCCAATTTAAATCTACCCTCTTTCTTTGAAGCTGTTGCCCCTCCCCTTATCACTACAGGCCCTTGTAAAACAGCAGTCACATCTGAAGGGGAACTTGCTTGTGACCTGAAGACCCTGGGACCCTGCACTTTGCTGGCTACCATAAGAGACAGAAACAGTGCTCACTTACCCTGCTACCTGTGCATACAACCTTCCCATGGCTGTGTTACCCTTGGCATTATGGGCAGGACTGCATATGGAGATACCTGGAGCACCTTGGTGGGCAATAACCATTACAGTGAAGTGGAAAGGGTTTCTTCATGTTGTCCCAGTCAACTGATCCAATCCTGGGAATTCCAACCTCCATCCTGGCCATAGTGACATCCCCTGAAGGTTTCCATCTCCCACAGGCAGGTTCTCAAGCTTTCTACTCCAAGTTTCTCTTTATTCTATTCCTCATGCCTCAGCCTGTGACACAGGTCCTGTCACAAGGTTGATAATGTGTTTTCCTTGAAGGTCCTGTGGGGTTGGCTAGCAGAGCAGGGAGAGGGGAGAAAGTGAACATCAGAGTTTGCTTCTTCCCCTCTGGGTACCTTGGTCATGGAGGTGATCACACACATGTGAAAACACAACCACTTCCACCCTGTGAGATCCAGTCAGTGGAACATGAGGTGGCAAGTG